TGCCTCTCACAAGATATAATGAAATGGGAGCGGGTGGTACGCCTACCACGAGATATAATGAAATGGGAGCGGGTGGTACGCCTACCACAAGATATGAGAAATGGGATCGGGTTGCACGCCTGCAACAAAATGAAACAGAAAGTGAAAGTTGCCTTATTTCTCTTTATCCGTGTTAGAAATTAAATTGTAGTTTCCTTACAATTCTTTGGTATTCTGTTTTATCTGCTACCCCCGGAGCATGATTCCCCTTTCCCAGCTTTGATTGCTTATTACCTGTTTACCTTTCCTCCATATAGTACATAACTGCACAGGTTTATCTGGAGTCTGGTCCTAGCCTCGTCACTACCTCGCCGGGGTTAGGCCAGACACTTACCAGCACATGGGGTCGGTTGTGCTGATACTACACTCTGTGCTTTTTTGCACAGATCCAGGTCTTGGAAAGCAGCAGTAGCGCGGGAGCCAACTTTCAGTCCAGTGAGATACCGAGGTAGCCTTGCAAGCGTTCGCAGGCCCGTCGCCTCCTCTATCTTTATTTCAGTCTGTTATCTCATGTATTCGAGACCAACATTTTATATTTTTCTTTCAAACGGTTGTATTTAGTACTCTTAGAAGTTCGTGAGTAATGTGACACCAGTTCTTGGGTAGAGGCATATGTCGATTTCCGTATTATTGTTTGGTTTCTTTAATTTAACTCTTCCATACATTATTAAATTCCGCTGTTTTCATACTATCGCTGATAATCGTTAAAAGAAGTGATTTGTTAATGAAGTAAGCTGTTAAGGATTGGCTTGTGTATCTCACATTAGTAGGTGTCATCACGACTCCCGAGGGTGGGAAATCTGGGTCGTGACAGTCCAGGTAAGTCGCAGGTGTCGAATACGACTTATAAATCGCATTTGGTAACAACGATTTGCCTCTGCCCCAGAATACAGCATAACCCGCCTTTGGTAAATCAATCATAAAGTTTTGTACAAATATCCAAATGATGAACGGTTTGAAGCGTTAGAAACTAGACTCAAAGACCTTTAATTTGATAGGTTGTGCATCACATAACACCTTATATATATGTAGATATGCTCGTCCAAAGTGTGATCTTGTGCGTGCTCATTTAGAATTTTAGTCTATCTTGAAATTTTCCAACTTGGCTTAGACTTGGGCTTCTTCTTACACCCCAAATCACTTATAATATACTTCATACACTTATTATCATATCCAATTGATATCCATCATATTAATAGTCCGTCTTTGCACACAAAATAATATAATTGGCGCACATCAACTTTCTTAATAGCTTAAGCACTTCAAAAAATATTCTGGAGTGTTACAATAATGCATGGCGATATTAGGTTATAAGCTAGTGATTATAATGTTGAGGCAATCCATTTTGCATGAGCCTTCAACTCATATTGAGGAACGACAAAATAAAACGATTTTATACATTGAGAAATCTCATAAACTATTCGTTGTTCACATATTAAGAGAAAATGATTAATAAAAATAAAAATAATCGTTTATTAAAAAATTATTGTATAATAATTGGACAAATTTTGGAATGAAGTTCTTCATTTTGAACCAAGATAGTGTATATAACATTATCGTTTTAATCAAAAAAAATAGACATGTTTTTTTACTCTATGAAAAGAGATAAACCGAAAAAGAAAAAAAAAAAATTATAAAATACTAAAACGTTACAACATAGGATTACACACTTCATAGTAAAAACTCTATAAATACTACACAACTCCCTTCATAGTAGTCATCCAGATCCCAAGATTTATTAACATAGAGAAAAAACCCAACAATCTTAAGATTGAACAATGGCGGAACACAAGTACAATCAATTCAAAGGACAACCTCGTCTTCCCAAATTTGCTGTTCCTAAAAGGTACGATTTAAGGTTGAAACCAGACCTTGTCGCCTGTAAATTCACCGGCGCCGTTGACATCTCCGTTGATGTTGTCTCTGACACCAAATTCATTGTCCTCAATGCTGCTGAACTCTCTGTTGACCCCAAGTCCGTTCTCTTCAAATCCTCAACCAAGGTGATTTTCTTGATTGAACCCTTTTCAAGTTTGAAGCTATGTGTGTGTGTGTGTGTGTTTGATATGTGAGTTTTTTGTTGTTTGTTTTATTGACCATGTGTTTGTTCATGATTGACCCTTTTGAAGAATGAATCTTTTTCCATCATAAGTAGTTTGATATGTAATCTTTTTGTTGTTTGTTTTATTGACCATGCTTTAATCTTCAAACAAAATGCTTATCTTGATTGACCCTTTTCAAGATTGAAGCTTTTCTTTTTATATCAAAAGTAGTTTGATATGTAATCTTTTTGTTGTTTGTTTTATTGACCATGTGTTTGTTCATGATTGACCCTTTTGAAGATTGAAGCTTTTTTCATCATAAGTAGTTTGATATGTGGTTTTCTTGTTGTTTTGTTTTATTGAACATGTGTTTGTTTTTGTGTGTATAGGTATTCCAGGCATTGGAGGTGGGGTTGATTGAAGAGGATGAGATAGTGGTTGTGGAGTTTGGAGAAAGTTTGCCACTTGGTATTGGAGTTCTGAATATGGCGTTTGAAGGAACGCTGAATGATAGGATGAAAGGGTTTTACAGAAGGTATTGATTTTTCCCATCTTTAGACAGAAGAACTAAATGTTGAGATACTTGGTTTTTTAATCTGCTGTAGTGATGACTGTTGATTCTCTTTTTCCAAGTATAGATGGTTATTGATTGCTCATGAAACATTTTCATTGTATTGTTGTCTTTTATATTTATGAAGGATATCTATCTATTTGTTATACTGTATAAGGATTAGGGCAGATACTGATTAATTCAAGGGTTATACCTACTTCTATAATCTCTATGCGGAAGATACGTTGGCGAGGCCCCAACATTACTATGTGGCGGCGTAACTGTATTAGTTCTAGATGGAGCTTGTTGATGAGGGAGCCAATACATCTATCAGACATTTTTATTCCCCTAGCAATTGTTGGTAGTCCTCTAGTATTTTTGGTTTAGAGACAAAGTAGGAGAGGAAAATGTTGCGGTTCTGTTTATGTTGTGCCACTGCTCACAAGCGGCAACCAAATAACAACTGTTTCTTTTAAAAGATTAAGGGTCAGGTGGTCTACTGACAGCCGACTTTCACAGAAAATTTATGTGTTACTCCATTATGATTGTGCTATAATTATGTAGATTGCTTAAAGGTCTAGAATGCATGCTCACAACCAAGAACTAGAAAACAATGTTCCTCTACTTTAGAAGTCAACTGAGAGGATAATTTTGCGGCTGATCTACGTGTTACTTCAATATGATTGTGCTACATGTAGATTGCTTAACTGTATTGATTGGTTCTTTGCAGTACCTACGAGCATAATGGGGAGAAGAGGAACATGGCTGTTACACAATTTGAACCAGCTGATGCCAGGCGTTGCTTTCCATGCTGGGATGAACCTGCTTGTAAGGTATTGCCAGCATTTGACGTTCTCCTTGTTTATCTACTCAATAATGTTAATTGCTATTGGAACCAGCTGATCGTAAGATATTTAGCTATAAATGCAACAAAACACATATGAACTTGATGATCTAATAACTTCTCTTTCTTTTTCTAGTCTTTGTTAAGTATTTTATTTGTTCCTTACAAGATTTGGTTGTTCAGATTTTTCTTTGTCTTACTTGATGTGAACTATCCAGGCCACCTTTAAAATTACACTAGACGTACCATCGGAACTGGTAGCTCTTTCTAACATGCCAGCTGAAGACGAAAAAGTGATGGGGAATCTTAAAACAGTTCAATATCAAGAGTCTCCGATCATGTCTACATACTTGGTGGCATTTGTGGTTGGCTTATTCGACTATGTTGAGGATTATACATCTGATGGTACTTATACTGGTCTTACTGAATATGTCTATAACCTTTTTTTCTTTGCTAATTAACATCACTTTGTGCAGGAATTCCTGTTCGAGTATACTGTCAGGTAGGCAAGGCAAATCAAGGGAGCTTCGCATTACATGTTGCTGTCAAAACGCTACCCCTCTTCAAAGAGTATGCATCACTTTCACTATATATGTTTCTCTCCTTGTATTTATAAAAAGGAAACTAATGAAGAAGAGGATCATGGAGGATTAAAACTTGGAAAAAATTTCCCTGACGTAATCCAGGAATTAGTTTCTAAATATTCTTATTGATAATATACTGTTATTCCAGCTTAAGTTTCCTTTTTGGTTTGTNTTGCAAATTTGTTGGGAGTTATTTGGCTTCCTATAATACGTGGTATTAAACTGTCTGATTTATATCTTGGACCTGTTGAATAAAATTTGGGTTTTCTTCAGGTTGCGACTGTGGTGGCTCATGAGCTTGCTCATCAGTGGTTTGGGAATCTTGTAACAATGGAATGGTGGACACATCTATGGCTGAATGAGGGGTTTGCAACATGGGTATGCTGCTTTTCTTAGAAGTATATGCTTTTGTACGTTGACTGGGTCTGTGAGCTGTTCATTCTAATTTTCTCTGACCGGTATTCAGGTGAGTTATTTGGCGACTGATAGTTTGTTCCCAGAATGGAAAATTTGGACTCAGTTTCTTGAAGAGGCCACTGAGGGACTTCGTCTAGATGGGCTTGCAGAATCCCACCCCATTGAGGTATGAAGCAACATTCATTCCAGTTCTTGTATTATGCTAAATTCAAGATGCATTTTTGTGCTTAATCACCAGTTATTGACATCTATTAGAGTATTAGTTGGGCTAGCTTTAGAATTATTCTACAAATCTTATTTTGTCTTACCAGGTTGACATCAATCATGCCGGAGAAATTGATGAAATTTTTGACGCGATTAGTTATAGAAAAGGTGCATCTGTCATTCGGATGTTACAGAGCTATCTTGGACCTGAAAGTTTCCAGGTTTGCATTTCCATTATTTACTATGTTAACATTCTTTTCTTTTGTCTTCATTTAAACCCCTTTGTGCTATATTTCTGTCCGCCATTTTGTTGTGTTTTTTTATACATATACTGGTTACCTGACTAACACTTGTGTGTCGGATGATGGAGATGGAAAGTGGGAGGGTGAATTAGAAAGAGGAACTATATCATTCAATGCAATGCCCCTTTTTAACATCTTATCTTTCCTAACTGGTGATTGTAAAGTATTATTAGTAGAAAGTTCAAACGGCTTCTTGACTAAGTTACACTAAAACTTTGCTTGCCCTTAATTATTACTCCCTCCACCCTGTTTGACTAGGGGCGTAATTTAAGAAATTAAAGAAGACCTTTGAGATATATATATATATATATATATATATATACACACACACACACACACACATAGAGAACAAAAATTATCCTTGTGGTGGTGAGAGTTCCACATGCTTTTTCATGCTCTTTCCTTGCAAAAGAATGAACGTTTATATCATTACTTAATCAACAAATGAAAAACAGAATGAACATTTATATCAACTTGTCCCAAAAAAGAAAGGTGTCACTCTTTTTTTAGACGGAAGTGTGTCACCTAAAACGGACAGAGGGAGTATTATATATAAGTCTTTCTCTGAGTGTTTGTGATCGTTACTGTGTGGATTAACTGCTATTCTGGTAATAAAGTCACATTAGTCTAGAGTTTTGGATGAAGAGATACTTGTATCTTCAACATTAATTGCATAGTGAGAAAGTAGTACTTTGTCTTTTCTATATTCTTGGACTTGATAAATGGTGTATCTCATAATTACTGGAAATTTAAATATTTGACTTTCCAAAGGTAAAATAGGTATTGCTAATCCCATCAAGGTAGTTAAGACTTAAGAGTAGTCAGCACTGAAAATGCATTTCATTGCTTGAGTATAGCGACTTAAAGTTATTCCATTGAAGTATTCTTTAATGAGTGAATTTAACAAACGCAGCAGTGAATGCAGTACACATGTCTATAAAAGTCCTCCTGAAAGTGATGTTTTATGCACCCAAGGGTGTGACCTAGTGGTCAATAAAGTGGGTGAGAACCATGAGGTCTCAGGTTCAAATTCCAGCTGAGGCAAACAACACTAGGTGATTTCTTCCCATCTATCCAAGCCTTGGTGGATAGAGTTACCTGGTATCTGTTGCTGGTGGGAGGTGGCAGGTATCCTATGGAATTAGATTAGTCGAGGTGCGCGCAAGCTGGCACGGACACCACGATTATAAAAAAAAGTGATATTTTCTAGTGAATTAATCGGATACTGCTGTCAACCACCATTTTTTAAACAGCAGCCATTAGTTTGTCAAAAAAGAAACTTCGCTATTGCGTATCTCCTCATTGACCATCCTTCTAAAATATATGATCTGGATTTTCTCTCAAGTCATTCCCAAGAGGGGTAGTTTCAAGTACCTTGGATCGGTTATTCAGGGGATCGGGGAGATTGACGAGGATGTCACACACCGTATAGGGGTGGGGTGGATGAAGTGGAGGTTAGCGTCGGGAGTCTTGTGTGACAAGAAAGTGCCACCGTTACTAAAAGGTAAGTTTTATAGAGCAGTGGTTAGGCCTGCAATGTTATATGGAACTGAATGTTGGCCGGTAAAGAACTCACACATCCAGAAGATGAAAGTAGCAGAGATGAGGATGTTGAGGTGGATGTGCGGGCATACAAGGATGGATAAGATTAGGAATGAAGATATTCGAGAGAAGGTGGGCGTGGCCCCCATGGAGGACAAGATGCGGGAAGTAAGACTCAGATGGTTCGGGCACATTNTTGAGCCGAGGGTCTCCTGGAAACAGTCTCTCTACCCTTCGGGGTAGGGGTAAGGTCTGCGTACATATTACCCTCCCCATACCCCACTTGTGGGATTATACTGGGTCGTTGTTGTTGTTGTTGTTGTTGTTGTAATATGATGTAGAAGCCATTGCTGATTTTTGAGCTCATTACACAAGTTGTAATGTGGCTATACTGTAAATACCACCAGCATATGCTTATTGCTGGGAAAATTAAAAAAATTCACTTTACTGATTAAAAAAAGATTTTCTTTCCAGAATATCATGTAGCTGTTGCTTGCTTGTAAGGGACTGATGAATTTGTCTCTTCTAATTTTTTCATGAAACCAGAGGGCACTTGCTTCATACATAAAAAGATATGCTTGCTCAAATGCGAAGACAGAGGATTTATGGTCTGTCCTTCAGGAGGAGTCTGGTGAACCTGTGAACAAGTTGATGAACTCCTGGACAAAGCAACAAGGTTACCCAGTCGTCTCTGTCAAAATAAAAGACCAAAAGCTGGAATGTGACCAGGTTATCTTGTTTCTAAATCAAATGCATATTTCCATTACCCAAGTCTTGTCTTCTCCATACTAACTTGTGTTTCCGTGCACCAGACACAATTTTTACTGAGTGGTTCTCATGGTGATGGGCAATGGATAGTTCCGTTAACACTCTGTTGTGGCTCTTATGAAGCTCGTAAAAGCTTCTTAATGCAAGAAAAGTCAGAAGTCCTTGATGTAAAGGACTTATTATGCTCATCTTCTTCTAAAGGCAATCCCTGGATAAAAGTTAACGTGGACCAAACAGGTTTTTATAGAGTTAAATATGATGATGAGCTATCAGCTAGACTCAGATATGCCATAGAGAGCAAGTGCTTATCAACAAATGATAAATATGGTAATAATTACTGCATTTTTGTGAAGTCTAATATTTAATAATTAAAATCGACTATTGATGGGATTATGTTGTCCTGAACAGGCATTTTAGATGATTCATATGCATTATCGATGGCTTGTCATCAGTCTTTGTTGTCTTTGCTTGCCCTGATGGCTTCTTTCAGGGAGGAGCTCGACTACACTGTTCTATCAAACCTGATCAGCGTAATTTCTCTACGTTATAGACCTCTTTAGTTATCAGTTCGGTCAGTCCAAAATTAACGGTTTTCCCTTCATGCAGATAAGTTACAAAGTTTCAAGAGTTGCAGCTGATGCTGTTCCTGACTTGAAGGATCACATAAAGTTGTTTTTCATCAATCTTTTCCAGTTTTCTGCAGAGTATGTTACTTCTTTTTCGAAACTACAAAGCATGTTACCTTATCTTTGTATTTTTGGTCATCGTCCAAGATGCAGTTCAAGGGGGAAAGAAATCCTGAAACAGTGTAAAAGAAAGAGAGAATAGCGCATAGTTGGAGTGATTCTACTTTTAATGTTATAAACATGGATAGGTGAATGTCTTCTAACTAAAGCTATTGGATATAGCAGAGAGCAACATAAATCAGAACAGAATTATGCCTGCTCTGGCTTTCTTGACATTCACGGGTCAAGTCTACAACAACAACAACAACCCAGTATAATCCCACTTAGTGGGGTCTGGGAAGGGTAGTGTGTACGCAGACCTTACCCCTACCCTGGGGTAGAGAGGCTGTTTCCAAATAGACCCCCGACACCCTTCCCTCCAAGAACTTTCCACCTTGCTCTTGGGGAGACTCGAACTCACAACCTCTTGATTGGAAGTGGAGGTTGCTTACCATCAGAGCAAACCCTCTTGTCTATGATAAGAAAATGAATTTCTATTCTCCGAGGCTATACTGGGTTGTTGTTGTTGTTGATTCTCCGAGGCTAGTTCCTGACAAAAAAGATTTAGAACTTGCATCTTGTTCTCTTTTGTCTAGTAGCTCTAATTCTAAGTTAGGAGGACTTGGGAGCTGTTTATAAGCGCTGAAATCAATTTAGAGATATAGTTTTCTTCTAACTAGATATCTTCTGTTTACCTATCTAGAAACAAGAAATCTGCTGCCAATAATGCCTTTCGAAAAGAATGAACGGGTAAACTGGTGTGTTAAATTGGTCACATTTACCCTTTATTCATCTCCTCAAACCGGGAATAGACACCACAAATAGAAAACTTTAGAGAAAAGGAAAACTTGTTTATGGAGTTGGAAGAGGGAATTTAGTCTAAGGCTCCCAGTTGAAATTAGATACTTGACCATTAATCTCATATTCCAATGTGGCACTAAAGGTTTGCTTCTAATTGGACTTTCCTTTATCGACAGGAGACTTGGTTGGGACCCTAAACAAGGGGAAAGCCACCTTGACGCCATGTTGAGAGGGGAGCTTCTGAATGTTCTGGCTGCCTTTGGACATGACGAAACAATAAATGAAGCAATCAGGCGCTTCCACATATTTTTGGACGACAGAAACACAGCTGTTCTTCCTCCTGACTTGAGAAGGGTAACTACACTTGAATATATTGTAACTCAAAATTCATTTCTTCTGTACCTTATGCAGATCCTAATCCCTCCCCTCTGCAGGCTGTTTATGTAGCTGTGATGCAGCGGGTGGATAAATCAGATAGATCAGGGTTTGAAGCTCTTTTAAGAGTTTACCGAGAGACTGACCTCAGCCAAGAAAAGACACGGGTTTTAAGTAATCTATCAACTCATGCCAATTATGAAATTAAATGTTTTGATTATGAAACTTTATGTCCAACCAATAAGTGCATTTTCTTGTTCTATAGGTTCATTGGCATCTTGCAGGGACCCCAAAATTATCCTTGAAATTCTCAACTTCTTGTTATGCTCTGAGGTATTCTTGATTTTTACATGGCACTGGATTATCTCTCTTTATCTCTTTGTGCACAGAGAGTGTGTGTATTTTGTTTCAACAAAATGTTCGAAGTGTAATCTGTGTTTGGAAATTTTAGGTACGGAGTCAAGATTGTGTTCACGGGCTTGCAGTTAGTTTAGAAGGCCGCGAAACTGCGTGGAAATGGTTGCAAGTGAGTACTCCCTTTCCTAGAAATTTTGCATTGCATTCCTCGAGTTATTTCTTTTATTACTAATTCCTAATAAGATACCTTTGAAAAAATGTTCATTGTAAATTGTATTAAATTGTTACTTGTAAAAACGTAGGCTGTAAGACTGAGGAATTCACATTAGTCCAAAGTGCAATTATTTCAGGAGGAGGAAGTGCAACATGTTCTTATAAAATTACTAGTGCCAAATGCTGCATTTCGTAACCAATAGATTTCTCAGAAAAATGCAATGAGGCATGATTCTTGATTTTTTGTCTTCTAATAAATTGTTTGAATACAGGACAAATGGGATCATATCCACAAGACTTACGGCTCTGGATTCCTATTAACCCGCTTCATCAGTGCAACAGTGTCACCGGTTTGTTTCTGCTCCTTTGCCATCTTTCTCTAGCATTTGCATGCAGTTGCTTACTATTTTATTATAGGACAACTTGATTCAAAAGCTATATCTATGGCATCTGCCTTGTTGTGTAATCACAAGAAGCATGGAAAACAAATTTTATAAATTACTCACTACATAGTCTTTGATCTTTTGGCTCAATCTTTCTTTTCTTCAGTTCTCATCCTATGAGAAGGCGAAAGAAGTTGAAGAGTTTTTTGCTAGCCGTACCAAGCCTTACATTGCAAGAACGTTGAAGCAGAGCATCGAGAGGGTTCACATTAATGCAAACTGGGTTCAAAGCATTCAAAAGGAGAAGAATCTTTCCGAGGCAGTGATGGAGCTAGCGTATAGGAAATACTGAAGTAGCTGTTGTTGAACTTAGTGTCCCCTTTAGGGAGTTTCTAGTTTCCATCAATAAGTTAATCATGGTACTTTTTTAAATGGTTATGTCTCTGAAAAAACGATAAAAGCTCTGATGATCCTTTGTTGAGCAAACTATAGGCTAGGTTACATATTTAATAAATCGTGACGGTTGATTTTGAACTGCTTTTGTTGTGCTCAGATGAACCAGGTCTAATATATGAGCAACCACCAATGAAGATACTATCTTTTAGACCTTAGCATTTCTGTTTGGAACACAAGATTAACTACCTCATACTTGATAATCAGCCTATGCATGCAATATTTCAGGGAATTGGATCAGACTCCTAGCATTACTGTGCATTGGTTAGCATATTTGCGCAGTTCCAGTTTACAAGTCACTTGGCTTGTCCTTCTAAGCTCTTTGTGGTGGCTTGAGATTATCATATCCCACATCTTGCTATAAAATGCATCTCTTTACTGTATTTTAATTTTGCAGTTCATGTTTAAATGATATAATAATTCTTGCATATGCAAAATTAGTTGGTAGTAATAGGACGTGTAATTTAAGAATGTAATCTGATGAAGTTAATTTGCACCAGACTCAAATGTTCACTGAATAGACAGGCAAAGAGGCAACTGTAATAGTCCCTTTAGGCCACTTCAAATCATGGACCATTAGAACCTCTTTCTTTCCAGTGACCCTTAGGTCCTACCATTATGAATGAACAACTCCTCTAAAACCACTAAGGAACATGATTGGCAAACAGTTGATTCTAAAATGGGATTAGCTCCTTGTTGAACTATCATTGATCCACAACCAGAGGCGGATGGACCATAGATTTTTTATAGGTTTATTTGAACACATCATTTTCTGCACGGAGCATAATAAACATGAAAAATACCAAATTCTGAACCTATAATTTCAAATGCTGAGTTTAGCAGTAAGAACCTTAAGTTCAAAACCATCAAAAAACACCAGATTCGATGAGTGAATGATGAACTGGTTAGTAAGTATCATATACGGTCATCTAGTTTCTTTCGTTATCTGTTCATCATATAAACGAGATACACCGCATTGAATATCGGTCTTCTTTGATCGAGTCAACTTATTCTGTCTATACTCTGAAAACCACATACAAAGTATAAATAAATATGCATCTTTTGAATACAATTCAGAAGAGATCTCTTTACTTGCTCATTACTGTTTCCAAGTAATACCGAGGCAAATAACCTCACAGAGCCTTTAACTCGGAGGAATAATGTATGCTCCTACTTCAAACAGCTAAATGAAGAAAACCTACATACAGAGAATGGAGCAAGTACTACAATACATACAGAAAGCTACTCTAATGAAAACCTGAAGTCCCAGATTCCCCTGGTAAAAATTAAAAGGGCTGGATATATTCAATCATATGAAGTCAATACTGTGAACCTATAATTGGAAACAGCTGATTGAGAGATTTCAGTTATGTTAGGTTTTGCTCTTAAACTTTCTTTGGGCTTTCAAGTCCACAACAATCACCGTTATGTTGTCCTTGCTGCCCTTTTGAGTAGCTCGATTTGATAAGCATTCTGCTGCTGCCTGTGCTGCTGGATCAATTCCTTGGCCCCTTTCCAGGGTAAGCGTTACACCATTCTTTTTATGCCACAGGAGTATGCGCTTGCGAGCCAATTCACATGCCTCTTCATTTGACATAACATCCCATAAACCATCACTTGCAAGAATAAGGCATTCGTCGTCCTTGGTTCGAGGTATGAACATTACTTCTGGATCAGGAATTATCCAGGGCTTCAAGTACCTATCTCCTGCAACCAAAAAGCCAATAAAATAAAATGTAAAGGAAATAGAAGAAAGACTTGCTTGCTAACAAAATTAGGAGAGGGATTAGCATTTAGAGTCCTTGATAATACGATGTTATCACTATAGGGTAATTCTCATGTCAAATAGAAAAAAAAAAGGAAAAGCAGAGTGTATATTGAATACGCAATATACTATTCTAGCAAGCTCACGGAGTAATCCTTTCACAGCTTTGCATTTAAAGCACACATTGCAAAAGCTTAAGATACAATAAAAATAGCTTACATCAAATCGGAGATGTTAAGTCACCAGCGTGTCACATTCCTACACAGCTTGATGACAGAAGTTGGGGCATATATTGGCTATAAGTTTAATCATGGATATCATAGATTAGTTAAGCCTCTGGAAATAATGAACTCACATACAGCAACTTAAACTACTCAATGTCACTTTGGCTTTATTTTTCAGTTGACATTAGAAACTTGAGTATATGATCATCGACACTACTATTTTTAAAAGCGAAGAGTGCAAAAAAGTGACAATCTCCATGGGGCTTGAAGACAAAAGCATGAAGTAAAGCGCACAATCACAAAATTAAAAGAAATAGCAAACCTATATGAATTTGGTATTATAATAATCAAAATGCAATTAAAATATTTAAATATTTAATTTCAGTATCATATATACATTAATGCTGATATTAGTCCAATTTCTCAAACTTGAGATTCAGAGAACTAAGCGCTTCTTGTTGGGATCACCTTCGCATCATTGTTTGAAGCGAATAGCTTCAATCACGAAGTAATAGGTGGTGGCTTTTAATTAACACTGATCGACACAAATTTCCATCTTATAGGCACTGTAATATCCTCTTCAATTTACAAACCTGCATGTTCAGCCTTCAGCGACAAGAGTTTGCACACGTCTAGAAGCAAAACCAGGCTTCAGCACAGATTTACAATTTGTTGGTCCTTTATGTAATGCTGGACCGAAGAAAGAATGAGAAAAAGAACATTCTAACATTTAAAGTTACACATCAGATGGCAAAGGCACACTTAGTCATAGGTATAAAAAGAATTGCATGAAAGACAAAATGAGCTCTCTTCTCATCACAATCACCATAATCAAGGAGCACCTCCCTGGGGACCAGGAAACAGAAGGTTCCCATGCTTCTTTTGGTTCTGTTTTATTTACAATTTTTACCAAGTCGAAGTTCATAGCTCAAGAATTGCACTAACCAGGGTCAGACAAGTGATGATCAGAAAACGAAGAAGGCTTGCAGGAACATAACCAAATCAACCAAAATGTTTGTGGCCACACGACCAAAGACATGACTGATGGAAGGGCACAAATTCTTACTCTTTTTTTCACGGAGACAATATAAAAGGAGAGCTTGGTTTAAAATTTAAATCTCTTAAAAACAGAACTTATTTCTCATCGTATGTTAAACCGCCTACCTCCTATATTCTATGACACTTCTTCTGTTCGTTAACATTGAATAATTGTTGATTAATGTGAAAATAGAGGAGAAAAGAGAGGAAACTTCTAAATGATTTTGGTAATAATATACAAGTGTCGCTCCTGAGTTCTTCCATCTACAACATGGTAAGTATATTTCTTACACCTAAATAGGTAAGGAGTTAACATACAATTAAATGCAAAATATTTCGCGATATTCTAGGAAATATTACGAGACACTCCAAAAATCAATTACTGCTATTCAGTGAATGTAGATATAATGTGAATTAGTAGACACATCCTAAAATATAATCTCATTAATCCATTTGATATTCAATATGCCCCTCATACTGAAGGTGGTGAAACAACTTGAATTTGAAAATTGAAACGGGGAAGTGATGTGACAATAGACGATGTGAGCTGACGAGATACTAACTAAACAATGACGTATTGTTGGAAAACGACATTGTATTGATTGGAAAGACATGATGGACGACAACATGTGCTGACAAGAAAATGTCACTGGAAAAGAGACGTGGCGCTGACGGAAAATGTTGCTGGATGGCAACGTTGCACAGATCGAAGAGTGATATATCGTTGAGCAATTATGCTATGTTTCTTGGATATGGGTGCGGGTATCCGATACGTCTGTCGATCTAGAGGTCGGATTCGTCATCACAAGAATTTTGGGACTTGGGAGTATGGATCTTTAGTGCAAATAAGGGTGCCTGGATACAGCTAATAAATATAGAGGAATACTATATACGTATATATGACAATTAGTTATATAAAATGTTTATTGCACAATTATAAATTGCTATAAATACAGTATTTTTATAAATATGGTAATATAATTTATATAAAAATCTGAACATAGAAAAGTAAGTATTTTTGTTAGAAATTTGGTTAGAATCTATCATAATATATTTGTGCTTGTTAGCTTTGTCAATAACTACAAAGCAAATAGTATCTATGGTAGAAATAACTGTGGTCTTAAATGACTAGAGAGCGAAGGTATTTGTGGTTAAAATCAAATGCTTTATAAACACTTAATATTTTATTTATAAGTTAACTTGTATAATAACAAAGACTTCTAGTACATACACACACATATATATATACATATATATATATATATATATATATATATATATATATATGACATAAACCAAAAACCAAATACACAACCAACCTATACTTCTAGGCCATAAGTGTAGTCAAAGAACCCAAAATCAGTTGACCAAACCCGGTGCGGATCCCCCACCACACCCAAAATCGTGTAATATTGACACAACCGCAACAAAGATCTTGAGGGATACGAGCAACATAACAATTATATTGACATTTCAAGAAATGTGATACACACTGCCTAAACAATAGCCCGGAAAGTGACCAGCATAGGTGATACTGCCGGAACAATCATCGAGAAAATGTAAGTCACGAGAAATGAGATAGAGGTACCATTAAAAAGAACATTGAAAATAGACAATAAATGTAAATTATTACAACAACGAAAATTTTGGTAAGGTAGAAGATTTAAGGCGGCACATCATATTTTATAGTATCCTATAATGTATGGAATATTCCGCAATATTCTCCTACTTCTATGAATCTAGACATGTCGTAGATCTTGACACATTCTAAAATGCAACTTCATTACTCCTTTTGGCTTACAATTGCATTCGTCAAAATAATAATCTACACATTGTTCACAAGTTGGCACCATAATAAAATTCAAATTCAAACTATGACCCGACGAGTTCCCTAACAAACCAACTTATTCACAGATCATCTATCCATGTAAGCAAATGAAAGACAGAATGAGAAGCATAAGTAAAACAGGAAGGAGAATGGCACACTCTATTCTCTTATTGGAGGGAAAGGAGAAAAGCACTACACTAATCAGTTCTCTAACGAAGAATATTAGCGTGTGTGCACTTATTTTAACAGCCGAGACACTACCTTGTCTTGATGTATCTTGAACAAGGCAATTTGCCAGTTCCA